AGGCCCCCAGTATCCATTCGTTATTCTTTAACCCTCGCAGTTATCTAGTAAAATGTGTATTCTTAACCCCACTTTACAGATGGAAAACTGAACCTCAGAGAGGTTAGTGAGTTGCCCGAGAGCATCCAGTCAGGTTGAAAGCCTGGATCCTTTCCAAGAGACAATGTCTTTCGAATCTTGACCAAGTCTCAGAGTAACAAATGCAATTTTCATGAACACCTAGTGAACGTATACATCAACGTAACATAATTGAAAGTTACTTGTAGTGCTTGTGATGTATACTGATGATTTCCTTTATAATGTACACGGCTTCATTAAAAACAAAAATGCTTCTGTGACCCATTGAATTGACTTTGCAACACGCTGTTGGATCACAACCTTAGAACAGCAGCATTCTGCCTCCCAATGTGGAATTTTTCATATTAGGCCTGGCCCACCCAACCCAGAAGGGGCTGGAGCTGTAGGAACTAGCGAGGACAGCCCTCCATGTACTCCAGTTAGGGCCCTGCACCCCTTACCAAACCTCCCCCGAGGACAGTCTTACTCACATAGACACTGTCTCCAGAGGGAGTGCTCTTGGCTACAAGTAACAGAAAGCTTAACCGGGCAATGGCTTAAACAAGAGGAATATTCGTTGTGTCCCATAATCAGAACCCCGGGGGAAGGGGGCTCTGGGGTTGGTGAGATCCTTGTCTCAGCACCATCCTCTGCTCTGCCCACTTAGCCACACAGCCACGTCCTCTCTTGTGCGACTCTCATGAGCCCAAGATGGTGGCTGCATTTTCCACTGGGCCGCGCTCAGAGGCAGGAAAAGGGAGACCACTCCTCTCTTTTGTTCTCTTTTATGAGGAGAAACTTCCCAGAAGTCACTCCCTCCAAACTTCCTCCTCATATCTCACGAGCCAGGTTTGTCTCACATGCTCACGGCTGAACCAGAGGAGTGGAATCACCATCACATGGCGCCATGTTTCTCAAACCATTGGGGTTGAAAAATCAGTTTAGTGAACTTTGAGCACCATTTTTCTCAGGGAATAGGATGGAACAGGATAGAATAGGATAGAAAATGTCAGTGCCACACAAATAGGTTAAGAATTGTTTTGTGAAACTGTTGTTTCAGTCACATCTGTATAAATATGTGTATGTGTGTACACACCCGTGTGTGTGATCCTGGGTAGTGGCGGAAAGTGACGCTTTCCTTTGTATTCCTGAACCAGGATGGCGGGAAGCAGCTTCTAGAAGGCATGTCAGACAACAAGAGCCTCCTGGAGTTTGATTTGCGCCTGTCAGGTATCGCCCAGGAGAGCGAGTATCTCATCGGCCAGGCCCTCTGTGCCAACCGCGAAGCAGCCCGCCAGCGGGCCCTGAGTCCCAGCCACTTCATGTCACCAGCCACTGCCAAGGGCCATGAGAACCTGGCGGGATGAGATGGGGACAGGGCTGGGGCAGTGACCAAACCTGGGTCACTGCCCCAGCCCCATCCCTCATTTCATGCCCCTGCCACGCCTGCTGCAGAGTGTCACACTGGTCTGGAGGGAGTCGGGAGGGAGACCAAGAATATCCTTGGGATGAGTGATCAAGGGTTGTGCAGATAAAGATGTGAGGAGAGGAAGGGGCCTGGGACAGGGGTAGGAAATAGGACTTAGCCCTGGTACGCAGGGAGAGGATATTACCGGACTCACTGAAATGACTGACTTCTCCCAAGAATAGGGAAGGCAAAGCAGACTCTAAGGGACTGTGCCTGCCCAGACTCTCCCATGGGGGTCGCCCGTCTCCCTGACCACCCTCCTCCCCACCAATTTTCTCTCTACCAAATAGATCCTTGACCTCTTGACCTTCAAACACACTCACTCTCTCTCCACCCCACCCCACCCCCCGCCAGGCTACAGCATAGCTTTGCCTGGCTCTTCCACCATCACCCCTGCCGATGCCACCTCCTTCTTGCTTAACTCCACTTAAGTCATCCAGTTCTACAAGCCACGCCATCCCTAATCCATTTCCCCCAACCTGGGAAGGGGGAAACAGAGGTGACAGGAGGGGCTCAGACCCACCGGCCTCCCCAGATTGCTGCTCACGGATGGAGGTTCAGCCCGAGGAGGATGGGGAGATGGCGAGAGAGGTGCGACACTGAGAAGGGAAGTCAGTGAGTCATCTGCAACTTTATTATCCACCAGTTTCATTTATACAATCTTTGCGCTTGGAAATCCAGGACAGAAAGGCCACAGTGTGATGCACCCAGTTGACAGAGACCTGTCTTCTCCCCAGCCAGGCCCAGCCCACCCCACAAGCCCTTGTCCCCAGGACACATGAAACCTTCCAGGCATCCTCCATGAGTCCCCGTCACTCTGTGGCCGCCCGCCTTGGGGCCACACCCACGGGAATCACATCTACCCACAGGGCCACAAGAGGGCCTGACGATGGATTCAGGCTGAGCCCCCATCTCCCATCCTCCTCGGGCTGAACCTCCAGCCCTGTGTTTCCAAAGGGTGTGTCATGGGCTGCACCCACAGCCTTGGGGCGCTTTCCAGGGACTCCTTCCAACAAGCAGAGCACCAAAGGGGGCTTGGGAGTGACCGCACGTGTGTGCCTGTCTGGGCAACCTTGAGTCTGTCTGTGCCCGACACCCTCTGACAGTTCCGAGTGCAAACGTGTAGGTGTGAGTGTGTGTGTACATAGCCACAGCTGCTAGCAGAGGGTCTAATTAGAGAAACAAGAACATTCAGTGTAAAGTTTAATTTTAGAGATTAGTTAATTTTCTGGTTTTGTTTTCCCTGGTAATCAATAAAGCTACCAAGAAAACAGACCAAAGAATTGGTTTCTCTCTAAGTCTTTGCGTATGTGGGAGGTGTGAGGCTGTCTGTGTGAGAAGACCTAGGCAGAAATGGTCAATACAGGCAAAAATAATAACAGCCCCTCCCCTTTCCCCCTCCTCCCAGCTCGGGTTCTGTCTCAGGAATGGGCCTGAGGCAGGAGGAGCTGAGCTCCTCCCTCCTTGGAGCCATGAGGTGGCCAGGATGCCCCACATAAGGCCGTGACATCCGGGTGCCAGCTGGTCCTGAGGCCACAGCTCACCACCTGTACCTTGAAGATGTCCATTCAGAGGAAAGGGGTGCTCCAACCCCCAGGCCCCTGGAGAGCACAGTGCTGGCGGGTAGGTGGCACTGCTGCCCAGGGAAACCTAGTGGGCAGCTGTTCCCTCCTCCCCAAGCCTCCTCTTCTCCGGCCTCCTCTCTCTTCCCACTCAGCCATCTCCACCTGAAAGTTAGGCTCAACCCTGATGGGCCACAGGCCATGGTGTCCTCACGATCTGTGGCCCCCAGTCCCCCAGGAAAGGAGGTTAGGGGAGCTAGAGGAGATGTTGCATAGGTGGAGGCCATACCCTCGGGGGGTACAGGCCTGGCTAGGCTGGAGGAAGAGGGGAGAGGCTGGAGGAGGGAAAGGGGCAGCTCTGATGGCTCAGGTGACATGAGAAGCATCAGGGGTGAGCCACGTTGGAGGCCTGAGGGTTTTCCTCTCCAGCTGGAAATGTGAGCTCAATCCCTGGGCACCGTCAGCCGGGAAAACATTAGCCAGGGGATTTGGGAGGGCAGGGGGTTTGTACACAGACATGCACACGGAAGCACATCAGGGTAGGAGTAGTGGGGGAACAGGACACAGGGCCAGCGCCCTGGGGCCGTGGCAGTTTGCCCCTTTGAAGATCCTGGGACACACAGCAGGGCTTCAGCTCATGGGCTAGGGGAGGACAGAGGGATCGGGCAAGATTTAGAGAATTCCTGCCTCTGACCCTGCCACGGGAAATGAGTCTTTCTCCAGCTGGGGTTCGTGACAAGGTCCTCAGCCCTGCAGAAGCTCTGCTTGCACACGACCACTCTCCACTCTTCCCCACAAGTTCGGGGGAGGCAAGGGCCGACCCCCACAGACACCCCGACCTTTGGGGGGGGTCTTTTCACGACCCTCTCCTCTTTGACTCCCACTAGCTTCCTGAGTTCCCCCTTGTCACCCAGGCCTATCTCCTGCTCTCCCCACTTAGTCATTCATTCACCTTGGTCAGCTTGAAGGAATGCTGCCTGGGTGGTCTCCCACCCTCTCTGAAGGGAGCGCCCTCCCAGAACCCAGGTGACGGGGCTACAGTTTAAAGGACTGAGGTGCACTGCCCTCCACAGTTTGCCTTGCCCCTCACCCCTGGCAACAGCTCTTCAGAGCCAGGGAGCAGGAGGGGAGGGAGAGGTGTGAAATCTGCGTGGTGAGTACAGTCCTCCCCAGGGCCCAGTGAGATAAACAACAGCAGAGGGAGTGGCAGAGAGGAAAGCCCGGGCCAGCGCCAAGAAGAGATCAACATTTCCATGGCTTTGAGGCTTTGAGATGGAGTATCACGGCTGACACCTGCCCAGGCCTCAGACCCACTGAATTCATTAGCTTGGATGGAAGCCAGCCCTGCTCTTCTCCAAACCACTGCCCCCTCGGTAGAGAGAGGCCCCAGCGGGGCCAGGCTGCGGAGGAAGGAAAGCCCCAATTGCCCTTCCCCTGGCCTGTAAACCTCCCCAGCTGCAAAGCGAGGGCCTCTCCCTTGAGGCGAGGCCCAACGCGGGTCCCACGGCACAGTCTCCACGTAACAGTCATTAGATCCGTTGAAAGGCGGGACTGGAAATTCCGAGTGTGCGAGTATGCGTGTGGGAAGTGGAGGTGTCCCCCTAGGAACTCAGGGGCGGGGCTGGGAGAGAGAACTCTGCCGGGGCGGGATTCCCTCCTCTCCCCACAGCTGTCTATGTTCAGGAAAGGCGGGTGGCGGGGTGCTGCTGGCTTTGCAGGAGGGGGGGGGGGGGGGGGGGTGCTCGAATCGGCCCCTTTGGGGTCTGTCCCTTGCCCCCTCGCCTCCCCCCAGCCCACCCGCACCGTGCCCAGCCCAGCCTCGGCCACATTCTTGACTCCCCCTGCTACACGCAGGGAGCACCATCCGGCGAGGGGCAGTGAGGAGGCCGGCGGGCCGGTGCAGGGCCCCGGGGTCACAGTGAGGTCTCTACGCAGGAGCCGTGGCGGTGCAACGGCCGGTAGCCGTGGCCCAGACATCCCTCCTGCCGGTGCACGATGAGCACGGGGAAGTAGAGGGCGTCGTGGTAGGGCGGCGGCGGCCCGGCCTCCTCCTCGTCTTCGTCGTCCTCGTCGTCCCCCATGCTGGCCTGGCTGGACAGCCGCGTCTGCTCGGTGGGGCAGCTCGCCTCGTTGACGCTCCCGCTCCGGCTGCGCCACAGGCAGCTGCGCCGGGAGCCGTAGAGGCGGCCTAGGGAGAAGCGGCTGCCCGCACAGCCCGCCCCGCCGCCGGGCCCCGGTCCGGCCCGAGGGCTGGCGCAGATGCTAAGAGCGCTGCGCGAGAAGATGGACGAGCTGCTGACGGCGCGCTGGCAGTGCTCGCAGCTGCGCCTGTACGGGGCCAGGCCCGCTGCGCCTGGGCCACCCACCCCACCGTAGCGGCACGTGGGCGCGTAGCCGCCCGCCGCGCCCCCAGCACAGCGCGCGCCCAGCCCCGCCAGGTCCATGAGCACCGCCTCCGAGTAGCTGGGCACCAGCTGCTGGTTGGAGCGGATGTGCCACTCGAGCTCCGTGCTGTCCACCGTGTTGACACGCGGCAGGCGGTGCGTGAGCGGGGGCAACAGCTCGTCGCTGGGGCTGAGGCCGCCGCCCGCGCTGCCGCTGGCCGAGCTCGGGCCCTCCAGGCCGAAAAGCTTCTCCACGTGGTAGTGCGCGTAGGCCGTACGGTACTCGGCCAGCACGCGCAGCGGCCACGACAGCGTGAGCAGCGCCGCAGCCCAGAAGGCAGACGAGCAGGCGTACCAGGGTGGCCTGGCCGGGTCGGGGAAGGCCACCATGAATTCGCGGAAGTCCACGTTCTTGAGGTGCATGCCCTCGCGCGCCTCCATGTAGTCGTCCAGGCCCTCGTTCTCGGCAAAGAAGCGCGCGCGCTGGCACAGGTACGCGTTCTCGGCCTCCACGCTGGCGAAGCTGAAGCACTTGGTGAAGCGCAGGCGCGTGGCCGGCGCGCCCTCCAGCCCCACCAGCGCCTTGGACACGTCGCGGACGCCACAGCGCTCGTAGTCGAACTCGGCCTCGGCCACGTGCGTGTTGACGCGCTCATGGTAGACCTGTGGCGCCGGGGAAGGCGGCAGGAGTCGCGTCTCTCCGCTTACCCTCCTCCGCCCCATCACTGCTCTTGGCGCCGGATCAAACCCTCAGCCTGTCCTGGTTTAGCTCCCGGTTGGGGCCAGGTAAGATCTTATCGGGTTTATAGAGACATTGAGGCCCTCAGCTTCAGCAGTGAGTTAGAGATGAGGGCGGGGCTAGGAACTCATCCCTACTTATGTGCCTTCTCACTTTAACTAAGGCCTGCTCCGTCTAGGGGTCAGTCGCAGGCCCTGAATTGTCCCTCCGGCTTGCCTGACCCTTTTGCCACTGCATCTTTTGTCCCACGCTGCCCCCTCATCACCCCAAACAGCCTACCCGTCTTCCCTTTTACAAGTGTGTTTCCAAATGGGCCCCCCAGAGGAGGTCCCTGTGTCCCCCCTTTGTCTCTGGTCTCCCTGCTTCCACCTTAGGTAGTACCCGGCCTCCTTCCTGATCCTCACAGGGCCCAAGCTTTGTTTACCCAGCCCAATACTGAGACAGTGGAGAGGTCCCCCTTATCTGGGAAAATCTCCTCTTCCACCAGGGCTCTAATATGCCTAATCCCAGCAGGTATACAGAGTGCTGCTTGACACCCGCTCCATGCCTCCCAGGCCTACCTCCACCTTTTTGCCAGCTGACCCCCACCTCTGGGAGCCTCACACTTGGGATCCACAGCCCTGAGTTTGAGTCTAGCACTACCACTTAGAAGCTGCAGAACTTGGGCAAGTCACTGAGCTCAGGTCTCTTTACCTGTGAAAGAGGACTCGGTAGCAGGCGCCTCACTGATCAGCCTGTGAGGCTGTGCATGTGAAACAGCTCCAGCCATTAAGCACTAGACCATACGGACCCTGGAGCCAGACTGCCAGGGTTCAAATCCCAGCTCCACCACACACTAGCTCTTTGACCTTAGGTAAGTTACTGAACCTCTCCAAGCCTCAGTTTCCTCATCTGTAAAATGGGGGTAATAGTTACCTACCTCATAGGGTTATCATGAGGGTTAAATAAATGATTTGCTATTTGTAAAGTAGTTAGAGCAGACCCTGGCTGCTAGTGTTTACTGTTATAATTATGGTGAGTGTTATTGTCCTCCTGTTGCAGTGCCCACAAGAGCTCACTGCTGCCTGTGCTCCTCCCCCTGACAGTCGAGCAGGGTCCCAGCACCCCCTCCCATCTGGAATGGCCTCTGCTCCCCTCCAGCTCCTCACCTGGGTGGTGGTGTAAGCGTCTCCATTGCGGTATCGGGTGACCTGGCGGGTGCGGCGGACATAGTGGTAGCTGATGGCCTTCCACCAGATACATGGCGTGGCCTGCTGCATGCGGCCCACGCGTTCCCGCACGCTGCTCACATCCACGCGGTGCTGCAGCTCATGGCGGGCTTGGCAATGCCAGCACTCCACCAGGTAGACAGCATACAGCATGAGCAGGAAAGCCAGGGGGATGTAGACATAGCCGTTGGAGCAGGGGCTGTCGTGGTACATGAGGCTGTTGCCCTGGTAGGCGCTGCTGAAGGTGAGGCGGGTCACCGTGGTGACGTGACACCAGGCCACGGCCCCCAGGCAGCCGTACATGAGCAGCGAGAGGAGCAGGCACTTCCAGTGGGACTCACGGCAGAGGGACTTGGTGAAAGAGGGCTGGATGGGACGCTGCTGCTCAGAAGGGCAGGCAAAGGGGCCAAGATGAGTGCGGAGTGAGACGGAGTGGCAAGGCCCAGCACAGAGATGGATGGCGGGCCAGAGGCCGACCCCGGCGATGACAGGCAGAGACAGACAGGAATGTGCAGAGAGAGTCAGACCAAGGTGGGAGGCCAGGACCAGAGATCAACACAGAAGTAACCCAGAGTGAGCCATGAGGACAGGAAAGAGGAACGGAATGCCAGTATAGGGAAGTGCAGAGGCAGAGGGATCAGAGCCAGAGATGGAGGGAGAAGGCCCAGGTGGCAGAGAAGACACAGATGGATAGGATGGCACCCAGAGAAACAGAGTCCAAAGACAGACACAGCGATGGCAATGAAACAGGAGAAGGTGTGCATAGGGAAGACAGGGAGGACAGATAGGCATCAGAGAAGGCAGGTCTCCAGCCTGGACCCCTTCCAGGTATTCCAGGAAAGGGGAGAGGGGCCCACTGACATCACCTTCCCACTTCACAGGTGGGGCTCTCCCTTCTTCCAGAACCTAGGAGGAGCCACTTCCTCTGACCCATCTACCTCCCTGTCCCTCACAATTAGCCTCATACCTCCCAGGAAACCCCAAGCCCTGTCTCTTTCCCCATACTCTGGACCCCAGGTCCCCTGTGAGTCTCCCTAACATCTACCACTGTTCTAAGATAAAAGGCAGGGGGGTTTGTGTCCCTGAGCAGCAAGTGGTCCAGGAGGATATATCCAGAAGGGCAGAGGCATGTGGCTGGGGAGAGGGGATGTGGGACGGGGGTGGGGGGGCAGGGAGGGAGATGTTCGCAGCCCAGCCATTTGTCAAGAGAAGACGATTTTTGGTACGGGGGTCTATTAAAGCACTTATCATGTTCTGGCCCACAGCTGTCCCGGTGAGTTGTTTACGTGTGTGGCTCCTCCACTAGACTGGGTGCTCCTGAGGGCAGGGCCTCATTCCCTTTGCGTCCTGGGTGCTGGCACCCACAGCGGCTCAATGATGAGTACTGAGTCGGATTTCTGGTGGCAGCCTGGGCTTTCCCTCTCCTGCCCCCACTGTCTAGCTTTAGGAACCCTCCACACACCCTCCTGCTGAGATCCTGACTTTTTCTTTCAATTCCCCAGGCCGGACCTGGAGGCTAGCCAAGGGAAGGGAGAGAAAGGTGGAGAGGAAGGGCACAGTAACAGACAGCAGGCCCTGGACCCGGTGTGAAATCCGAGGAAAGATCTGGAAGTACAGATAGGTAGGTAGGCTGGGAAATAGTACTCAGCATATGCAGACAAGATTAGGGGACATGTGCCTTTCAGGGAGCCTTGTCCTGCGAGGGGCGCATATGTGCCCCTTGGTGTGCCTGAGTGTGCACTTGTCCCAGTGAGAGGGCGTGTGGAAGGGGCTCCGCCTGCGGGTCCTGCCTGTGTGCTTCTGCCCCAGAGCCGTGTGCAACGGGCGCATATGGGAGCCGGAGGAGCCCCTGGTACTTTCCTCCATTTCTTTTGTCTCCAGGTTCAGAGGACTGAAGAGTAGGACCCCCAACAAGGGATGTGCTGGGTACCAAAACTGGGAAGGATTCCTGGGCTCAGGGCCCCCTGGAGGGGGGCCTGCATGGATATGGGGAGAGAGAGGCGCACATCCCCCACGCACACACTCCCAGTGACTCCAGGGGGGAGATCGCCTCTGCACACAGTCGACCTTTTGAGGACCCCAACTCACGTTAACACTACCATTTCCCCCGTGGAACTGGCAGGTACTCTCCTGCCTCCGCAGCCCCTACAAGTCACCCTGCCTGGCCTTCAAGATAGCATCCCCACCCCCACCAGCCCGGGATCCGCGAGGCTCCGCCCCTAGGCCCCTCCCCCTGCCCGGGACCCCCGAGCCCCGCCCCCGGCGCGGCCCCTTCCCTGCCACCGCGGACAGCTCCGGCCGCCGGGTGGGGGCAGCGAGGCGGGACTGCGGCTGCGGCGGCCGCGCTGCGGCGGAACCGGCGGGGGCCGCGCGCGGCGGGGGATGG